GACAGTGCAGTAAAAAGTTAAAAACACAGTCCAAACTTAAACACATGGCAGCTGAACTTAAAATTGTTAAACAGTTAAACTGCAGATGCTAACTTGCACAACTACAGTCTGCAGATGCTAAACTGCAGTCCAAACTGCAGTCTGTAGACAACAAACTTGCAGAAGCATTTGACAATGTAGGACAAAGCCACCACATTTTGAACATGGTGTCGACTGTAGCTTCCCCTAATATTAATATGTCCATCAAATCAATGTTTGCTTCCAAGTAATCACAAGCAATCAGCCGGGACTGAACCTGCTGCCTCTGCAGATTTGCTACTACTTGAGTAGCATCTTTGCGGGTCTGTGAATTAGAAACATCATTTTGTTATAAAAAATTAAGGAGCAGACAAAAACAAGATTTCAAAAGAGTCACAGGCTTAACAGAAGTGAAAACCTAATTCCAATTGATCAAATAACATGTAATAGAACTCTTAGAAGACGTCAAATTACCTCTAAATTCAAATTGGGAAGACAAGTAATTATCAGCCGGAGTGTGTTCTCTCTGAAGAATTCTTGAGTCAACTGAGCACAGGCCTCAGCGAGAGGCTCGGATTCGCCATTCCCGTAAAGAATAATCTTTAATTCCCGGATTGACTTGCTTAACTCCATCATCTGCGGATATGCAGTTAAGAAGAAAAAGTGTATAACAAACACTATAATAAACATAATCAAGCAAAAGCATAACTCATACAAAAGTGTACTGCCATATATCTATCTCAAATCATAAAAATAGGGGCATTGTCACTGATGATTCAACACACAACTCCAGATCACATATTTGAGAAATCGCCTGAGTTCAATTACCAATTCTACTGCATATCACATAAAACTCTTATCCACCACTTCCATTGTTCACTTAGCAATTGGTGTTATCAACAAATTCACAGAATTAAAAAATAAATTCTGATAACAAGAAAATGAACCAGATCCAAATTGGGTTTACTAAAGCTATCCCATTTGTGAATTTTTTCCCAAAGCAAGTTAATTCAAACAATTGAACCAAACCAATCAACTATGAATTCCCTGTATCCGTTCCACTCTATTCAGATCTCTAATTCATAAGCTAAGCTAATTCAGAAGTCTCACCCCATCAATCAATCAATCATCAACTATTCACAATTCCAAACTAGTTAGGACAGAAAACACAAATCCTTATATATTTTCACTCTGTTCGAGTCCGATTTTTCTTCAGATACAAGATAAGAAAGGTAACATTTTTCAGTAAGAATCAATTAACTGCATCTCAAACCAAACTAGTTGAGCTCTGCTATATGAATCCTTTGTATCCATTCCACTCCATAGTCCATTCACATCACTAATCCACAACTAAGCCATTCAAAAGTATCAGCCTAAAAATCAATCAATCATGTCAAGTATGCATCAATTCCAAACTAGTTATCTGGCCCTTTTTCTTTTTCTTTTTTTTCAAAAATAAGAATAAACATCAACCTTTTCAGGTCACTAATTCACAAACTAAGCCAATTTAAAAATCTCAACCCAACAATCAGGCAATCATCAACTAGACCTCAATTCCAAACTAGTCTGAATCGAAGATGCAAATAACTATATATGAGATCATGAGAATGAGATGAGACTTACAAAACTTACAAAAGTAGTGAAGTTAACCGGTGAAGATGAGATGAGACTTGAGCTCGAATGTCGACTGGTCGTAACTCGACTCGCACACTGATATCCTAGAGTCGCAGTAGATTCTCGTCTTCTTCTTCTCGTTCTCGATGATATCTCCTAAGTCCTAAGCACCGCGAACGCCCACGGCCCACCCCTACCGCGAAGGCTGAACTGAAGCAGTAAGCAAACCCTAATGCTAATACCCTATGTCGAACTCAAATTCTCGATGAGTCTGAGAGTCTGAGTGTTGGGAGTTGGGTAATTGGGTTTGGGGCGCAGCTGGGCCTGGGTGTGGGCTGTGGCCCAAAATCAAATAAAATAGGTAATTCATAATTGGGTTGGGGGCTTTGGGGTTTGGGCTGTATAATATATTAGCAAATTTTGGTATTTCGGTATACCGAAATAATTCACTTATAAAACCGAAAACCGAACCGAAATACCGAAATTCACGTACCAAATTAGACCGAAATACCGAAAAAATCGAAACCGAAATACCAAATTAATTTGGTTCGGTTCGGAATTCGATTTTTCGGTTTTTTTGCCCACCCCTAATTCATGGAACAAATAGAGAGCTAAAATATTGTAGTAAGGGTGAATTGGAAGGGGGGGCCCACTTAGACGGTAAGTGGCAGTTTTAAAATGCTGCAGTAACAAGTGGCATGGAAAGTTGAGATGGACCCCACACTTCCGACAAACTTATTAAGTGTACAAGAAATAAAGCTAGTGTTATAAATATATTATATTATGGATGTTCATTTAATACTCCGTTGTAAATAAGCTTCCTGAAGAAGCTTATCTGTATGAGACTCCACAGTAAATATGTTTATCTATTTAGTATTATATTGGAAATAAGCTTCCTGAAGAAGCTTATCACTTCGGTACCCGGTTATGGATAAACATTACCCCCAGTAGAAGTTTATCCATATCAGGTATAATAAGCTTATCCATTTAGTACTCCGTTATGGATAATTATTGCTCTCAGTAGAAGATTATCCATATCTGGTACAACAACAGCTTACACAGCAGCTTACACATCAGCTTGTAGTAGCAGCTTACACTGCAGCTTGTAGTAGCAGCTTACACAGCAGCTTACACATCAGCTTGTAGTAGCAGCTTACACTGCAGCTTGTAGTAGCAGCTTACACTGCAGCTTGTAGTAGCAGCTTACACTGCAGCTTGTAGTAGCAGCTTACAGAGCAGCTTCCTTTCTTCTATAAATAGAAGAGATTTCAGTTCATTATGTACATCAGTTTGAATTCGAATAATATATCAGTTTCTCTCTATACTTGTCTTTACTTTATAGTCTTTATTTCATAACAGCTAGAAAGTATAATATCCTCAAGTATATAAATTATGAAATTCCAGAAATATTGCTACCATGAGCTGGTTATTCACATTTATAGTATAGGACTTCGTAGGTCGCAGTCCCATAATTCTTTACAAGTCGCATTATGCAGACCCGTTTTTAAGTACATTCCGTAAATGAATTTTAGAAGGCGCATTCTTTCAATACGATTTATAAGCCCGCATCCATTCTCACATTCGGCTTATTCTTCCTCTCTTTCGCCGCAACCTCAAACTCCGTTCCTCCGCCTCCGCCACCCGCCAGAATCCGCCGTACCAACCAAGGCCTCGTCGCTGATTTGTTTGCCGCCGGTGATAGAGTTGGCAAGGCTCGCCGTTGACTCTGGCGGTGATCATGGTTTCAAAGGACTTTTGATCCAACGGTCATCCCTGTGAGTTAACAGATTCAACTTATATTTACAGTTTAACTTTCGTTATTTACAGTATAATTGCTATAATCTATTTACTATATTTTTCAGGTAATAATTCATGCTTACTATAGGCCGTTAATCTTAGTTAGTATATTTATGGGATCTGACTCTATAAATAGGTTTGCACTGTAATTTCTTGTACAGCTCGTTGAAATAATTGTGCATCTGTTAATTTGTTTCCTCGCAAAAGCAAAAGCTAACCGTTTCAAGTATTTTATTCAGTACATGATAATATTCCTCTTTAATAAGTAATCTAATTTTTGCATCTGATGTAAATGATAAAATTCTCTTTGAAGTTAATAGTTAAATTTTTGTTTCAAAAGTAGAAACAAAATACATCTAACTTAGATCATATTTAAAAATGGTGAAAATTAAGTTCAGTCTAAAGGAATTGTTTATATCCAACGGAAGGCACAAAATGGTTTGATTATTCCACATCCAAGTACTAAAAAAGTATATTTCGAAGTATTATTGTAGCTTATTGTCCTCTGTTTCTTTTGTTTAAATTTGTGTTACCAAGGTTGACTTCTGTGATCAAACTGCTCGTGACCTACAACATGGGAAACGACCGAAGTCACTTACGGTTCAATTCATGACCTAAATGGAAAAAATTACTCCCTTCGTCCCAATTTATGTGTAGTGTTGACTGAGCACGAAAATTAATAAAGAAAGAAAGAATTTTGGGAAAACTTAAAGTTGAATTGTTTCTAAATAAATATGATATTCTATATTAGAAAAACTAAAAAGGAAAGTATGACACATAAATTGGGACATAAGGAGTACTATTGTTGCTCATGATTCCCTGAATTTCTATTTTGTTATTTCTAAATCCCTCAATTTAAATTTATATATTTTACGCTGCCAAAGTTGACTGATGTGTTCAAAATGGGCAAGTTTTCTAAACAGAAAGATGCTGTCTCACGATTACTTTAATCAGTATTCCACAAACGAAAAGTTAAAAAAAAGATTAGTGAACGATCATTGAGTTACCAAAATGATGTCATTGTCTCACTATTACTAGATGGAATGCTTAACAGATATGGATTTTCCTAGAACTTGTGTACCAAGACCAAGTCTAACCTTGTGTTTTTTTTTTCCTTAGACACCAAGGTCTATTTAATGGTTATTTCTGAGGAAACAATTTAAAGCAATCTTAAATTACTAGTATATTGCTTTTTTTCCGATATATCTTCTGCAACTTGATTGACTTTGCGAAAAAGATGAAAAGTGAGATATTTTTATTTCTCAATATTGCATTTTCAGTGTTCATAGGACTTGTTATTGGAACAAGTTCAGGAGGGGATGGTCGTACTACTTTGTGCATTGAGAGGGAGAGGGAAGCTCTTCTCAAGTTCAAGCAAGGTCTGATAGATAACTACGGTATCCTCTCGTCATGGGGGAGAGAAGAAGAGAAAGAAGAATGCTGTGGTTGGAAAGGTGTGCAGTGTAGCAATATAACAGGTCATGTTGTGGTTCTTGATATTCATGCTCCGTCCTATAGTCAACATTTGAGAGGTAACATTACTCCTTCATTGCTTGAATTGCAACATCTGAAGCACCTAGACCTTAGTTACAATAATTTTGGTACAAGTCGAATACCGAATTTCATTGGTTCTTTTCCAAGACTGGAATATCTTTTTCTTGAGTATGCTAACTTGTCAGGTGAAATTCCTCACGCTCTTGGGAAACTTACCCATTTGCAGATTCTTGACCTTAGCCTGAACTCCCGTCTAGTAGTGAAGAACCTTGAGTGGCTTCCTCGTCTTGTTTTTTTACTTGACCTTGACCTTTCTGGGGTTCATATTGAAACAGTCAATTGGTTGCAACAAATAATTAAGTCCCCTTCTTTAGAACAATTGAATTTGGAACATTGCAACGTCCCCGAGCCAATCATATCAATATCTCATCTCTCATCCAATGTCTCTTCCCGTTTGCTTTCCAGCCTCAACCTTGCTGATACTGGGCTTTCCTCTTCTGCATTTCGGTGGTTGTTCAACTTGAGTACGAGATTTACTTCCATAGATCTCTCTTCTAACCATTTAGCAGGCCGCATCCCTGAAGCCTTTGGGTATATGCAACATCTTGAGTTCATTGACCTTGCTACAAATATTCTAGAAGGTGGATTGCCCAAATCTTTTGGCAACTTGAGTCACTTAAGAGCCCTTGATTTATCAACTAATAACTTGAACCAACCACTTCCTGAATTATTTCTGAGCTTATCTGGTAAAGCAGAAAAATCACTTGAAGAATTGCATTTATCTAACAATCATNTGGGATTTGAAGAACTAGCCATTCTTAATTTAGCTAACAACAATCTATATGGTAAAATTCCCAGTTCCATTGGTTCTTTGTCGGATATCCAATCTCTACAGTTGCGGAACAACAATTTTACTGGTGATCTGCCTACCTCTTTGAAAAACTGCGGAATATTGCAAATCTTGGACGTAGGAGGAAATAAGCTAAGTGGAGAAATACCATTATGGATTGGCTCACACTTAACATTCTTGGTTGTCTTAAGTTTGAGACTCAACAAGTTCAATGGAAGCATACCTCAAAATTTGTGTCATCTGAATAAAATCCATATTTTGGATCTTTCTCAGAACAGCTTATCTGGAGAAATCCCCCGATGTCTCAACAATATCACATCTTTGCTTCAGAATAATAATAGTTCAACCCCAAGCATCCTTTTTGAATTAGGTGGAGACAGTCACAATGGCTATTCTTATTTTGAAGAATACTTGGGGGATGCATTAGTTCAATGGAAAAGCAGTGAATCTGTGTACAATAAGACACTCGGGTTGTTGAAGATCATCGATTTTTCTAATAACGAGTTAGCTGGAAATGTTCCTGAAGAAATCGCGCAACTGGATGGAGTGCTTTCACTAAACCTCTCGAGAAATAATTTAACAGGAAATGTAATACAAGGAATTGGGAAGATGGAAAAGTTAGAGTCCCTTGATTTGTCTGGAAATCAGTTCACTGGTCGAATTCCCACAAGTCTTGCTCAACTACATTTCCTAAGTGTCTTAGACTTGTCGAGTAACAACTTATCGGGGAAAATTCCTTCAAGCACTCAATTGCAGAGTTTTGATCCTTCATCATATGAAGGAAACAATGAACTTTGTGGCCCACCACTTGCAGAATGTCCTGAAGATAGAAATACTCAAAGCCTTTCTGCTGATCATAGCAAAATCAACAATCTTGATGAAGATGACAAGATTCTGTCGTTTGGGTTTTATGTATGTGTGGCAAGTGGCTTCATTCTTGGATTTTGGGGAGTAATATTTACTTTAGCCCTCAAGCAATCATTTAGAGATGCTTACTTTCAGAAGTTGACCAATTTCGCAAACTGGATCTTTGTGACAATAATAATGTCTCTACACAGATTGAAGATGATGTGGAGCTAGCGAATATATCGCTAAACTTTTATATCTATATCAGTCAATTTTGTTTAATTATTGATTAGATTCTTCTCCTCAAACATTTACAGGTTTTGTTGCAGCTGATCAGTTGTTCTTCAGGCCAGGTCCTTTGCATCAGAAAATCTGTATTGATGGATTAATTTTCCACAATCTGTTACTTATAAGCATATGTTGAGTGTCTTATCTTTATTAGTTATCTTGAACCTCTCTACTAGTCTAGCTTCTTTCATAAATGTAGAGTCATGAAGCAAGACAGAACAAATCTTTATGTACAATTTGTATAGTTCAATGATACACCAACTTTAAGCAAGAAAATTTTAGATGGCAAAAACATCCCTGCAACCAGAATTGCTCAAAAGAGCAGAAAAGATCAGCTGGAAAAGATTTCAGCATATCACTTGAGGACTCTCAAACACAGCTCAATTTTCCGCATTGCTACTTTCTACATGAGATGCATACAACTCCTCGGAAACTTACATCATTTTGTTGTCTTACAGTTTGGCCAAGCTTCTAAATCGGCTTATTTTGAAAAGTGCTTTCTAAAAAAAATAATTTTGGTGAGAAGCAGTTTGTATTTGTCTAATTAATTTGAAAAACACTTTTGAACAACAATTAGTGTTTCGGCAGCCTTTTAAAATGTACTTCTAAATGTATTTTTCTCAAAAGTCCTTTTAGTGAGAAACTACTTTTTCATGCTTCTTAAAAACTTATTCTACTTCTACTCAAAAATATTTTTTTTCTTCGAAAAGTTTGGTCAAACATCTTAACTTTGGGAGCAAAAAGAAACACCTTTGACACAAAAAAGAAAAAAGAAAAAAGAAAAAGAAAGCACTTTTGGCCCAAAATCAAATACTTTTGGCCAAAAAGATGTTTGGCCAAACAGGTGCTTAATAAGCCAATCAATAATGGTATCAATATTTACCCGACTCTGTGTAGGGGTGGCAAAATGGTTAAAAGAAAACAGTTAACCAACCATATTATCCACTAAAAAATAGATTGAATAATGAACTTTTTAAAAACGAGTCAAATATGGATAAGAACCATATTATCCATTTAGAAAATGGATAACCAATGAGTCTAAATTTTACATTTGTAAATCCTCAAATTGGGGGTTCCTCAAGTTAGGGTGACTAAAAATTCTCCCAAAAGTGATTATATGCAAGAATTCATGAATAATATGGTTACCCATATTATCCGCCGGTTAACCCGTTTTTTATCCGTATTAAATATGGATCGGGTAGGATAATTTATCTGTTTTTCCATTACCCGTTTTCGACCCGAACTATATCCGACCCGCCCCGCCCGTTTGTAGAGTTAGGAGATCATATAGTAGCAATTAGCAAGGTCTAAGTAGTTAACATTTACTCGAAGTGAACCAGTTCAAGAACTTTTCCAAGCATTCTTCATTAAGTTTTCTTACTTTTTGAAAGTACTAATACTTCAAAATTTAACAACGAATTAGGATTTAAATATCTGAATTATACCTCAAAACTTTTGAGCAATTGATGACTAAAGTCTAACCTAAAAATTGATTTTTTTTTTTAAAACTCACATACTAAAAAGTCTTCATTTATTTTAAAACTAGTGAATTTGCCGCGCTCTGCGCGGTCATAAAGATAAATAAATGAGCATTACAAACATCTTTTATAATTTTAATTCTATAAGTTGAATTTGTAAAATATATTTATATTTTAACGGATAGCTCAGTTTCACGAAAAAAATTGAAGGCAACAAAAAGAATGATAATAAGACTACAACGATATATGCTTAATAACTTTACATATACAACCATTTGGTAACAAATCTTTTTGTGGTAAAAGAAACAACAATTAGTAGTAAAAACACATAGTATATTGTTTAATGTTTTCATCATTCATCGTTAGTAAAATTGCAATTTCTGTAATTATTTTCTTTATTTTTTTCTCTTTCCCTTCTTTCTTTATTTCTTCCACTTCATCATATCATACTATTAAATCTTCGACTATAGTTGGCTTCTAATCCAACTAAAACACTCCTTTTGACCAAACGGACATACCTCTTCATATATCATCATAAAGAGTATACTTCCCAAAGTCAAGCACTATTACCTATATGATCAATAAAAAGCACTAAGTAGTTAGTTTCTCATGGTATATGAGCAAGCTGCCAAAAGAAATAGCAAATTAGATACTTCTAGCATCCCCAAAAGCCGGCGTAGTGCATCGATGAAAAATAACGGCATTTGCAGATTCAAAGCCCCTCATAACTCATAAGTGGCTTTCAATAGGGGAATTTAGGTAAGGGAAGGTGAAAATAGCCAAACTAATTAGAGATATTTGAGCACAAAAAAAATTATCAATTTCCTACTCCTCTAAATTAAACACGGTTGTCTGATCCTTAATCTTCACAAATTAAAGATCTTAAGTGGGATTCCTTAAATAAGGGGAGGTAAAACGGACAAAGCTAATCAGGAAAAAAAGAAGAAGAAGAACAAAAATATAAACGTGTTTTTTGGCCATAGGAATATATATGTAAAATCTACACTCTACACCTTCTTTTCCTTTTTGAAAGTTTCCTATATTTACGACAAAGAAAAGAGAAATGGAAAGTAAACCAAAAAAAATAAGAAGAAGGAAATGTTAGAATATACTATAAGCCATGCGTATTGTTATAGTATTCTTTATGAACAATTATTTATTTACTTATTTAAATTCAATAAAGTTTCATTTTAAATAGATCATGTGTTGGTTTGTGCGTCCATNAACATTTTTTACATGATTCTGACTGCGGTTTCTACTAGAATTTTGCCCACCCAAAATTCTCTATTTTCGGTTATTGTTTGGGTAACACAGTAGAAGACTGTGGAAATCTGCTAGTGTGTTTTCAACTGAGGAACTGGAGAATGACCTAGATTTGTTGTGTTTACGCTTCAAGAGGTAATCCTAAAATCTCCATACGTGCTAGTTGTTTAGATTACACGTGAATAAGATTTTGTTATTGCTTCCGTTGTGGTATATATTCCAACAGGAAAAAAATGTAACAGATGAAAAAGAAGAAGAAGATAAAAATCGAAAAGTTTTAGATTAGGTAACAATGGAAAAAGAAATGTACGTACTTTCTTCTTTTCTTTTTCCCTTTCATTTCTAGTTCTTTTCTTTTTCCCTTTCATTTATCGTCTCTTTCATTTCTTTTCTTCTTTCTCTCTCCCTAACATGCTACTTCCTCCCTCACTAAGAAAAATTTCCTCCTAATTTGGCTTTATAACAAAAATGATAAATCTGTTCTACTATTCTATATAATACACACCTTCATTCAATATACATTTCGGAGTCCGGTGCATCTCCATCTCCCTTTCTTTTTCTCTATTCTCATCCTATTCATAATGAATGATCTTAACAAAAACTTTACCCTTTTGTGTCAAGTTTCCCATAATAATACATCTTGCATGATTCAAATGATTATATGAAACTCAGTATCAATATATGGGTTAGCAGGCTTTGCTCTGTCTCTTCCTTCAAAAGACACGAATCTTTTTACTCCATCAAAAGTCATGCATCTTACTCCTCTTCTTTCTTTTTCTACTAAACTCAACGCATTCGACGATAATATCTACTCGCTCTGTTTCCATTGTTTGTTTGATGCTTTTACTGCCTATTGATGTCCCTTCTTGTTTTTCAAATTTAAAGTAAAACGAAGTTTGAATGACATAGAATGCGCAAGTAATTTGAGATTGGTGCATAAATTTAACTTTAAACAGGTTGCAAAATTTAGGAAAGAGGTGAGAGGCCTGTAGGAAAAAGATCTTACCACATAAAAGTGTTGTAGTAGGTCTTAACAAAAAGTGAGATATAATTAAACCTGACCAAAAAAAGTGGAGAAAAAGAAATTCAAAATAAAGAAGAAGGTTGAAAAGATGCTTGTAGGAAAAAAGGAGATGTTACAGAAAAAAATTGTAATGGTACACAATAGTGAGGAAAGAGAGGAGACACAATAGGTGTAACATAAGAAAAATAATGCACCGTTTCAGGAAATTATTCTTTTAGATTTATTAATTGAGTTTATTGTGTGAAAAGAGAAGAAAAATCCCTAAAATCTAAGAAAATAGATAAATGCATTTCCTCATCGATAAGATATGCCACATCACTTTCTAAGGTCCCTGCCTTAGATTAATATATTGATTTAATATTAACTTCAATAGATAGTCATAAATTCATAATAATATATATCTTGCATGATTCAAATGGTTATATAAAATTCCGCATCAACTCAAGATACGAGTTAGCACGTGAGTTCCATAGAAAAAGATCTTAACAAATAGAAATGCCAATAGTTTTAAGAAAAGTGAAGATTTTAATAAACCTGGCCAGTTGGAAAATGTAAAATTCACACCCGACCAACATCCACACATATGAAATACTCCCTCCGTTTCATATTAAATGAGGTAGTTTGACTCGGTACGGAGTTTAAGAAAAAAGAAGAAGACTTTTGAAACTTGTGGTTTTAAAAGTTTAAGAGATAAAAAGTTTGTGGGGCCATGACATTTGTGTGGCTATAAAAGCATCTCATTAAGGGTAAATGAGTAAAATGAAAAGGTTTAAAGTTGAATTATTTCCAAATTTAGAAATGTGTCATTTGTTTTGAAATAGACTAAAAAGGAAAGTACCTCATTTAATATGAAACGGAGGGAGTAACGACTTTTTACCTCAAAGCTACAACGTCAAGGATCTCTCTCTGTCCTAGCACCCAAATTTCAGGCTGCAAATCTCTTGTTTTAAACCTGAAAAATAACCAAGTATGTCCAGGATATGTTTGTAAAATATGTGCAACAACGATTGCTATATAAAAATTACCAAAAGTACGTACTTACTTCTTCAGTTCCTACTACTCGAGAAAAAATGATAGGCCGACTTCAAGGTATTACCATGGCTTTCACTAATATTTTTGCGATTTTTTTTTTTTGATATCAGATAGAGAGAAATGAAATATGCAGAAAGTAAGATGTCAAATGAGAATATGCAAATAGTGATATCAGTGGAAAGGTTGTGATCCTTATATCTCCTTTAGAAGTCATTTTTCCAGAATGATTCAAATGTCGTGAATCGTGATCCATTCAAATGGGATAAGTGAGTAAATGAAAAATAAAAATGCATACGTTTGAATGAAGGAAGGAAAACAGAACCTTTAAAAAAGGGAGATGATGCCTCCACTCCGTAGAGATGGACTAAAGCTTTGAAGAAGACAAATGATTATCAAAGCCAAATATGAAAAACTTTTTCAGTTGCCTTTTCAATATACATGATGCAGAAATTCCTCACCATTGTGATGAGGGATTAGAT